CTCTATTCTGCAGTGACACATATCTAATAAAAACAGGCTGGGTCAGAAGCAGTTATGGGGGGAAGGGACTGTGGCTCAGTGGTACGGAATTTGTTCTGCAGGCAGAATGTCCCCTGTTCAGTCCCTGGCATCTCTAGTTAAGAGGATCAGACAGAAAGTGAAGCGAAAGATCTCTACCTCAGACCCTGAAGAGCTGCTGCCAGTCAGCGTAAACAATACTGACCTCGATGGACCAAGGGTCTGATTCCATATAAGGTAGTTTCATATGTTCACATGCAAGAGACAAAACAGTGAAAGAATCAGCTATAAAATTAAAAACCTACATCTGCAGAGACAAATCCTACTGAAGGACTGTTGCTGTTGAGGTTCCAGTTCAGTGTAAAGCTTTTTTGGCCAGAAGGCTGTTTCCTGAACAGGTCCAAAGGTACTGTAGCCAAAGCAGAGAAACCACCTGAAACAGGCAAAAGTAACACATGAAAATAAAGTCTGAGTAATGTGCTGAAAATTATTCTGAGAGTAAGCTGTAACTCAAATTTGAAATGTCCCAAGATTTGACAGACGTATCATCATAATAGGGAAAAAGTGGTGAAGGGATTAGTTTGCAATACAAACATAAGGCCCGGGGGCCAGAAGCGGCCCATCCTAACTCTTATCTGGCCTGTGTGTAACTGGTGTGATGGAGGAAACAGAAGGCTACTCGGGGAGGGGGCAAGTGGGCAAAGCCACTCTGTGGCCTCAGCACAGCAGAACAACCTTGTCGTCAGCAGTCAAGCAGAACCTCTTTGCTTCAGTGGCAATCTCACTGGTAAGTTGGGAGCCACCGCAGCCACATTCATGCTAGCACAGGGTTCCAAGGTGAGGTCACATGCCTTTCCACACAACCTGCAGCTCTAGGGAGGCTGTCTCAGATGGCAGCTGGAATTAGCATTCCCGTGTAGTGGAGTGCAAACAGTCCTCTGCTTGGGCCTGCCTGCTGGTGGCCAGTACCATTACTGTATTCACGCCCCCATGCAGCAGCTGTGGTTTGGCCCATGGGGCGCATTCTTTGGCAATATCTTCCACACATCTGGGGCTTAGTCCTGCCACTTAGCACACAACTTAGAACCTCGGCCTCCCTCCCCTATGGACCACTTGTGTCGAGGGCATGGTCTCTAGTTATACTGGTCACTCTGCCACATGTGCAGCCTTGTGCATGTGATGCCTGCTCCCACATCAGATGATCTGTTGGCCTTTGGCCTGGGGCAGCTGAAGCTACATGGGGTGGTGCAGCCTGCCAATGATCTCTGGCTTAAGCCCCCAGCATTAACCCATCAAGGATCACTTGGTAGCCTTGGCTGCAGGTGGCTGTTGCCACACAGGCATCTCTGGCTTATTGGGCTTTGCTTGGCCTGCATCCTACCATACACATGGCCTTGGACTTGGGCCACTGCCCCTGCTTCTGCAGGTGGGGGAGGATTAGTTCAACTTGTTTTCCCAGTACCCTTCCACGGTGGCTCAGGGGAGAGATCACAACACCCAGTTGCTCCATGTTTTTACCCTGGGGCCCAGGGTCACAGCACTGGCAGCGGGAGGGGGCTGGGGAAGGGGTTTGCTCCCCCTCCTGGCAGTGTGGGAACGGCACCACTGGCTCTCCAGTCTACCCATACAGGTTTTCCTCTGTACTCCCCCTCTCCCCCAGCCCATGGGGCCTTGCAGTGAGAACACACCAACTTGGAGCTTACCAGCTGCTGACTTCCATTAAATTTATATCTGGCATTATGTTTTAAGGCACACAAATGGCCTGGCCTGACAAAGTCACATTTATGTCTAATCCAGTCCTCATAACAAATGAGTTCGACATCTCTGCATATGAATCAAATTCAGCTCTAAATAGCCTGACAAAAGAATGGCAGCATTGGCACTTTCTAAAACATTTTCAGAACAATTTTTCCCCTGATGAGAAATTCGGGATAATTGGAAAGCTTGCACAGCATTTCATGTTATCTGATTGATTCTAGTACAAGATCAACTAAGGCTTCTGTTTTTAGCTTTTGCTTTGGACCATTGTAACTAAGTGGGAGGGCTTCTAGTGTCCTGACCCCACTGCTGGACCTCCTGGTAGCACCTAGTATTTTTGGTCACTGTGTGACAAAGTACATGGGTCATTGACCTGATCCAACATTGGCTTTTCTTATGTTCTTATCATAACCTGATAAACACCAATAAGAGGCCTGCAGGATTTGACTTGCCACATAAAGTATGGAAGATGGCAACAAAAAAGAACAGGCTTTGGCAGTTGTGCAGACCTGTTGTTTAAATGGGGCAAAATAAAAGGACTCGAATGCAATTGTGCTGCAGCCCACCAAACTATTTTCCATCTGTTGCAGGAACGTGAGCACCATGCTTTCCGGGGAGACATAATGGAGCTCTTTGTACTCTCCCCAGCTGTGAGTGATTGGACTGAAGATTTAGATATTAGTATTTAGGGGGATTGCCCAATCTGTCTGCATACCTGTTGTATCTCCTTGGTTACATATTTTATGCTTCCTGTGTGTAACTCTGCCATACGATAAATAAATAATACTTTACAATTTTTTTTTAAAAAAAGTGTAATGTGCTTGTTACCTTGGGAAGGATATGATAAAACAATCAATCCTTCGCCAAAAGCTGATACGAATACAATACCAAGCACATACTTTAAACACATTCATAGTTATACAGTACTTATTTCTGAACCCTTAACGAAGCCATTCTTCTCAAGTTTGCTACAGAGATAGTTGCAGATGAGGCTTTGCATAAAATTAAAGTAACCAAATACCACAGCAACAAATGAGTTTGGCTACATGTACCTGTATATTGCCTTCATATGCAACTTTATATATCAAATGAAAGTAAAGCTTCAAGGGCAATCCTGGATTCTCATCTATGTTTTCACCTGAATGCAGAGCAGAAGATCTCCCTTCTATTAAAGGTTTGGCTTTCACAGAAGTAACAGTCGTGACCACAGTCCCACAGGGCATCACAGTTCGATCCTTCTCTACCTTTGCAAGCGTGGCAGGAACTTTCAAATGTCTGGATTCAGAAGGTTCTATGTATGAGAACTAGAGAAAAACATTTAGGATTTAAAATTCAGGAAGCACAATTCAGTGGGAAGGTGTTGATAAATGCTGCTCGTCTGGTGCTCCTAGAAAACCAGAACTGGGAAGGGAGGAAAAAGCTGTAAGATCCAGTTCACAGTTCCACCAACCACAAGTGCACTTTATGCTACTTCTTTTGTTTACCCTGCTTTTATTGCCAATGGGGACCCAAAGCAGTTTGCAACATTGTTCTCCCTTCTTCCATTTTATCTTAATAACCATCCTGTGAAGTAGATTAGGCTGAGAGACAGTGACTGGCAGAGTGGGGATTCAAATCTGCCTCTCTCACTTCCTAGGCCCACATTTAACTACTCTCACACTGACTCTCTATTCTGCAGTGACACATATCTAATAAAAACAGGCTGGGTCAGAAGCACAGTTATGGGGAGGAAGGGACTGTGGCTCAGTGGTACGGAATTGGCTCTGCAGGCAGAATGTCCCCTGTTCAGTCCCTGGCATCTCTAGTTAAGAGGATCAGACAGAAAGTGAAGCGAAAGATCTCTACCTCAGACCCTGAAGAGCTGCTGCCAGTCAGCGTAAACAATACTGACCTCGATGGACCAAGGGTCTGATTCCATATAAGGTAGTTTCATATGTTCACATGCAAGAGACAAAACAGTGAAAGAATCAGCTATAAAATTAAAAACCTACATCTGCAGAGACAAATCCTACTGAAGGACTGTTGCTGTTGAGGTTGCAGTTCAGTGTAAAGCTTTTTTGGCCAGAAGGCTGTTTCCTGAACAGGTCCAAAGGTACTGTAGCCAAAGCAGAGAAACCACCTGAAACAGGCAAAAGTAACACATGAAAATAAAGTCTGAGTAATGTGCTGAAAATTATTCTGAGAGTAAGCTGTAACTCAAATTTGAAATGTCCCAAGATTTGACAGACGTATAATCATAATAGGAAAAAAGTGGTGAAGAAGGGATTAGTTTGCACTACAAACATAAGGCCCGGGGGCCAGAAGCGGCCCATCCTAAACTCTAATCTGGCCTGTGTGCAACTGGTGTGATGGAAGAAACAGAAGGCTACTCGGGGAGGGGGCAAGTGGGCATAGCCACTCTGTGGCCTCAGCACAGCAGAACAACCTTGTCGTCAGCAGTCAAGCAGAACCTCTTTGCTTCAGTGGCAATCTCACTGGTAAGTTGGGAGCCACCGCAGCCACATTCATGCTAGCACAGGGTTCCAAGGTGAGGTCACATGCCTTTCCGCACAACCTGCAGCTCTAGGGAGGCTGTCTCAGATGGCAGCTGGAATCAGCATTCCCGTGTAGTGGAGTGCAAACAGTCCCCTGTTTGGGCCTGCTGGTGGCCAGCACCATTACTGTATTCACGCCCCCATACAGCAGCTGTGGTTTGGCCCATGGGGGGGTATTCTTTGGCAATATCTTCCACACATCTGGGGCTTAGTCCTGCCACTGAGCACACAACTTAGAACCTCAGCCTCTCTCCCCTATGGACCACTTGTGTCGAGGGCATGGTCTCTAGTTATACTGGTCACTCTGCCACATGTGCAGCCTTGTGCATGTGATGCCTGCTCCCACATCAGATGATCTGTTGGCCTTTGGCCTGGGGCAGCTGAAGCTACATGGGGTGGTGCAGCCTGCCAATGATCTCTGGCTTAAGCCCCCAGCATTAACCCATCAAGGATCACCTGGTAGCCTTGGCTGCAGGTGGCTGTTGCCACACAGGCATCTCTGGCTTATTGGGCTTTGCTTGGCCTGCATCCTACCATGCACATGGGCTTGGACTTGGGCCACTGCCCCTGCTTCTGCAGGTGGGGGAGGATTAGTTCAACTTGTTTTCCCAGTACCCTTCCACGGTGGCTCAGGGGAGAGATCACAACACCCAGTTGCTCCATGTTTTTACCCTGGGGCCCAGGGTCACAGCACTGGCAGCGGGAGGGGGCTGGGGAAGGGGTTTGCTCCCCTCCTGGCAGTGTGGGAGCATCTGCTCAGAACTGCACCACTGGCTCTCCAGTCTACCCATACAGGTTTTCCTCTGTACTCCCCCTCTCCCCCAGCCCATGGGGCCTTGCAGTGAGAACACACCAACTTGGAGCTTACCAGCTGCTGACTTCCATTAAATTTATATCTGGCATTATGTTTTAAGGCACACAAATGGCCTGGCCTGACAAAGTCACATTTATGTCTAATCCGGTCCTCATAACAAATGAGTTCGACATCTCTGCATATGAATCAAATTCAGCTCTAAATAGCCTGACAAAAGAATGGCAGCATTGGCACTTTCTAAAACATTTTCAGAACAATTTTTCCCCTGATGAGAAATTCGGGATAATTGGAAAGCTTGCACAGCATTTCATGTTATCTGATTGATTCTAGTACAAGATCAACTAAGGCTTCTGTTTTTAGCTTTTGCTTTGGACCATTGTAACTACCTACAACATCTGTGGCTTACTGTTTCTTTATTGCAGATGGAAGAGAGCAGCAAGGGTCAGGAGTGACTTGCCTAATGATATCTAGCATTATAAATGTTTAGCCATTTAAAAAGAAAATTACTCAAACCTGAGCAATCAATTGTGTTTACGCGCTAGTTTATCGGACAATTATGCAGGCCTACCATGCTGTCATAGCCTCAGACAGGAGATTCAAGAGAGTACTCAATAACATCTATCTATAACAACTTCAGGTGGAGAAAAGCATAATGAACTCCAGTGCACCACTGGCTCTCCAGTCTACCCATGCAGGTTTTCCTCTGTACTCCCCCCCCTCCCCCAGCCCACGGGGCCTTGCAGTGAGGACACACCAACTTGGAGCTTACCAGCTGCTGACTTCCATTAAATTTATATCTGGCATTATGTTTTAAGGCACACAAATGGCCTGGCCTGACAAAGTCACATTTATGTCTAATCCAGTCCTCATAACAAATGAGTTCGACATCTCTGCATATGAATCAAATTCAGCTCTAAATAGCCTGACAAAAGAATGGCAGCATTGGCACTTTCTAAAACATTTTCAGAACAATTTTTCCCCTGATGAGAAATTCGGGATAATTGGAAAGCTTGCACAGCATTTCATGTTATCTGATTGATTCTAGTACAAGATCAACTAAGGCTTCTGTTTTTAGCTTTTGCTTTGGACCATTGTAACTACCTACAACATCTGTGGCTTACTGTTTCTTTATTGCAGATGGAAGAGAGCAGCAAGGGTCAGGAGTGACTTGCCTAATGATATCTAGCATTATAAATGTTTAGCCATTTAAAAAGAAAATTACTCAAACCTGAGCAATCAATTGTGTTTACGCGCTAGTTTATCGGACAATTATGCAGGCCTACCATGCTGTCATAGCCTCAGACAGGAGATTCAAGAGAGTACTCAATAACATCTATCTATAACAACTTCAGGTGGAGAAAAGCATAATGAACTCTATAAGCCCACTCCAAAGACCAGTTCCTCAGATGAAATAGTAGTGAAGCCCTCCAGGTTCTATGAATTAAGGATCTAGTGATCTATTTAACTTTGCAAAATCATGATTTCTTACAGAAATGCTTGACTGTTGATGATGCTTATGGCTCTTCATGAATTTTTCAAGTTTGTACATTCCAGGAATTATGAAGTTATGCATGATCTTGATTTCAGATCATGATCAATAATAGGTGAGTATGTTAGATATTTTTGCAAAATAACATTAGAAACAAGAAATGAATTGTCTACAGTACTTACTATCCATTTCCCCATTTTCGAAGACCTTTATTTGAAGATCTTTTGATTTGGCATTTAATTCACTGTAAAGAAGCAAAACAGGATTAAATACTCAGATAAGCACAGTTTCATACTCTTCAATAATACAGCAATCCATCTGGGAAAAGCATCAGTTTCTGCCCATCGTGTAGCTGTTAACAGTATAAAATACAGCCTTACTGGGTGGGTAGGAGTTCGTCTCCTTGGCCACTCTAGCAACAGCCACCAACTTTAGCAAAGCACATCTCTAGTAAGACAACTGCACTGCCTTTAATCCTACTGAAACCATATCAGTACAAAAGCTCTAAGTAATATACAAACAATACACAAGTCTTCTAATTTAATTTCAGTTGTTCAATAGCCTTATACCTATTAAATAATAGGCTGAATTAGGGTTGCCAGACCCCCCGGTTCGGTGGGGGTTTCCCAGTTTGACAGGGCTCCTTCCTGCCCACCAGCTGGTGGGGGGAAGCCCCACCCCGACCACCCGGCCTCCTTCCCACCTCTCCCCAGCAGTGTTTAAAGGATGTCTTTAAATGCTGCTGGGGAGAGGTGGGGGCCTCCGTTCCCCAACGTGATGGTGTCACGTCTACCCCCATCCCTTCCAGTAACAACCTCCAACCTCCAAACCAGACTTTGAGGGACCTGGCAACCCTAGACTGAATACGGGGGGGGGGGGTTGGGTTACTTTGGAGAAACAAGTTTTCTCTGACAAAAAAAACAAATATTGTTTGAAACCTAATTTCACGATGTAATGTTACAGTTACCTTTGCTATGTGTATGTATAGAAAGGTTCTATAAGGGGAAAACACGAGGGTATCCAAATGTTACAATATCTTTTCAGTTGGTGATGAACCAAGTTGACTGTTGCTAAGGTCAGGATAAAAGGTCACCAGAAGGGCTTTCAAGCTCAAAATAAGTTTTCAGTTGGGAGGGATCCTGAAGTCTGGAATTTGAGAACCAATCAGAGCAAGGCTTGACAAGTGTCAGCAGCTGATTGGATGAAATCTTCAAGAGTACCCACCCTCACAGGGACAGTATATAAGGGACAGTTGAAAGAATCAGGAGAGAAGCCACTGAAAAGGCAGAAGAAGTGAAATGAGCTACCAGCCAAAGTCTTCCAGGAACTGGATGAGTAAATGGCTTAAGGCAAGGAGGATTCCCTATAAGACAAGGCAAGAGAAACAGCACAGACTGCCTAGGACAGTGGTGGGCAAACTCATTAGTCAAAAGATTGAAATTTATTTTGAGAGCCAAATTTTTTAAACTTAAACTAGGGTACTCCTAAACTGGCCTTTGCTAAAAATGTCCTAAATCTGATTGAGGTACGTTCGCTGAGGTCGACCCCTTCCAACTCTCCCATCCACACTCGTCTTGTATAGTTGTTTCGTCTCCTTTCGTTCATCCTCTCTATATGTCCAAAGTATCCATAAAATTAAATCATGACAAACACTAATGTGAACAATGGCCTTGCATCTCCTTGGAAAGTTTGGGTAAGTCAGGTTTGTATGTTGTTGTTTTTAATTTTAGGCACGCACTAGAGAGCATCAATATGTATGGCCTCGATGGACCAGATTCAAGGTTCTTAGCTAGCAGCTAGCATTCTGTTCCCAACTGCAGCCTTCCAGAGGCTTCTGGAAGCTCAAAGAGCTGTTTGCCCTCCCCCCATTCTCTCAACAGCATTCATATTAAGAGGTTCAGTGTCCCTGAACGCAAGCTTGATTAAGTTCACAATATATTTCATCTCTATGGGTTCCCCCCCTAAACTTCCCACCCACATCTTGTGGCCAACTTGGAGCTTACCAGCTGCTGACTTCCATTAAATTTATATCTGGCATTATGTTTTAAGGCACACAAATGGCCTGGCCTGACAAAGTCACATTTATGTCTAATCCGGTCCTCATAACAAATGAGTTCGACATCTCTGCATATGAATCAAATTCAGCTCTAAATAGCCTGACAAAAGAATGGCAGCATTGGCACTTTCTAAAACATTTTCAGAACAATTTTTCCCCTGATGAGAAATTCGGGATAATTGGAAAGCTTGCACAGCATTTCATGTTATCTGATTGATTCTAGTACAAGATCAACTAAGGCTTCTGTTTTTAGCTTTTGCTTTGGACAATTGTAACTACCTACAATATCTGTGGCTTACTGTTTCTTTATTGCAGATGGAAGAGAGCAGCAAGGATCAGGAGTGACTTGCCTAATAATATCTAGCATTATAAATGTTTAGCCATTTTAAAAGAAAATTACTCAAACCTGATCAATCAATTGTGTTTACGCGCTAGTTTATCGGACAATTATGCAGGCTGTCATAGCCTCAGTCAGGAGATTCAAGAGAGCACTCAATAACATCAATCTATAACAACTTCAGGTGGAGAAAAGCATAATGAACTCTATAAGCCCACTCCAAAGAGTTGCAAAGATTAGTTCCTCAGATGAAATAGTAGTGAAGCCCTCCAGGTTCTATGAATTAAGGATCTAGTGATCTATTTAACTTTGCAAAATCATGATTTCTTACAGAAATGCTTGACTGTTGATGATGCTTATGGCTCTTCATGAATTTTTCAAGTTTGTACATTCCAGGAATTATGAAGTTATGCATGATCTTGATTTCAGATCATGATCAATAATAGGTGAGTATGTTAGATATTTTTGCAAAATAACATTAGAAACAAGAAATGAATTGTCTACAGTACTTACTATCCATTTCCCCATTTTCGAAGACCTTTATTTGAAGATCTTTTGATTTGGCATTTAATTCACTGTAAAGAAGCAAAATAGTATTAAATACTCAGATAAGCACAGTTTCATACTCTTCAATAATACAGCAATCCATCTGGGAAAAGCATCAGTTTCTGCCCATCGTGTAGCTGTTAACAGTATACAATACAGCCTTACTGGGTGGGTAGGAGTTCGTCTCCTTGGCCACTCTAGCAACAGCCACCAACTTTAGCAAAGCACATCTCTAGTAAGACCACTGCGCTGCCTTTAATCCTACTGAAACCATATCAGTACAAAAGCTCTAAGTAATATACAAGCAATACACAAGTCTTCTAATTTAATTTCAGTTGTTCGCAGTGTTTAAAGGATGTCTTTAAATGCTGCTGGGGAGAGGTGGGGGCCTCCGTTCCCCAACGTGATGGTGTCACGTCTACCCCCATCCCTTCCAGTAACAACCTCCAACCTCCAAACCAGACTTTGAGGGACCTGGCAACCCTAGACTGAATACGGGGGGGGGGGGTTACTTTGGAGAAACAAGTTTTCTCTGACAAAAAAAACAAATATTGTTTGAAACCTAATTTCACGATGTAATGTTACAGTTACCTTTGCTATGTGTATGTATAGAAAGGTTCTATAAGGGGAAAACACGAGGGTATCCAAATGTTACAATATCTTTTCAGTTGGTGATGAACCAAGTTGACTGTTGCTAAGGTCAGGATAAAAGGTCACCAGAAGGGCTTTCAAGCTCAAAATAAGTTTTCAGTTGGGAGGGATCCTGAAGTCTGGAATTTGAGAACCAATCAGAGCAAGGCTTGACAAGTGTCAGCAGCTGATTGGATGAAATCTTCCAGAGTACTCACCCTCACAGGGACTGTATATAAGGGACAGTTGAAAGAATCAGGAGAGAAGCCACTGAAAAGGCAGAAGAAATGAAATGAGCTACCAGCCAAAGTGTTCCAGGAACTGGATGAGTAAGTGGCTTAAGGCAAGGAGGATTCCCTATTAGACAAGGCAAGAGAAACAGCACAGATTGCCTAGGAAGATGCTAGAAGATCTGTGGCAAAAAATGTCTGAAAAGACAGGGAAAATGTCTCAACAGGACCAGAAGGAAGACTGCAAGACAGTAAGAATCAACCAGCTACCAGCATCACAAGGAAGCTGCCTAGTCAGTCAGGGCATCCATCAGTAAGCATCTGAATTACTAGCTGGGATGAGTAGCAGGGAAATCTGGCTATTTCTTTCAGGAAGGAAAGTGACAGAGCCTCATCTAGTAACAGCCTTTTATTGAGGAATAAAGTTGTATCTACATTTGATTTGCAGCTTTTTAAAATAAATGCCCCCCTACTATTTAAGACATACGTTTTTTAATTCCAGAGGATATGACCAATGACTAGTGAAAGTTAAAACCTTTGGGTTTTACTAGGACCTCACAATTGCAACCAGTGTTTTTCTCACCCAGAAATGAAGACCATATTCTGTCACAATAAGCTAATTTAATTACCACCCCGCAAGCCCTATCTGCCTGTGCAGACAGCAATAGAAATTCAGACGTGGCTGTTACATAGGGGGGTGGGGGGGTGGAGAGACAGGGAAGGAAGGCTCTCCCAGATTACCAATCTGCATTCTGGTGCTACAGAAAGGTGGAGGGGGCTAGCAAGATTAGTACCTAAAGCAGCTGTAACTAATTGAGCACACAAAAGCTATAGGGTCAGAAACAAGCTGGCTGATTTATTACTGTAATCAGTCCCACTAAAGGCAGTGGTTTCACTGTGTCTTTCTTATTAGGAGACTGCCTTCCCTTGCTCTTAGGCCTTAACCAGTCAGTGCCTGGAGACCCAGCTTCCCCTCCACACTCATCCAAAAAATAAAAAGGGAAATGTATCAAATTGTACAAAATAGCTTGTTTGGGTGGAGAGCAGGACTCTATACTGTATCACTTGCCATGAATCAGGTCACAGGCACTATCTTGTGGATGTCCTAGGTATATTTGACACATCAGTACTGTTAGCAGTGGGTGGTGCCACACTGTCCTAGCAACAAAATACTGCTCTTGTAAAACAGGTAATGATTCAGCAACAAGCTGTCAAGATCCTACTAACAAAGCAGCACTTTCTTTGCATTAAAGGAAACAGTGCCTGGAAATCACCTAATTCTCTCGTTGGAAACCACACATCTGTACAGTCCAGTTTCAGAGACAACAGCGCCTGTTGTTTATAGTAAATAATGATTTAGAAATTACTCCAGGCATCGGATCTAGTAAATGTTTTTGAAAGATCACTTCTGAATGCTAAACTGAGTTTTCCTTGTCTGTAGTGGCACTTGCAGAATATACAGTATTACATTTTCTGTTACTCTTAACAGGTATTCTGGAATCCATTACTCTAAGTGTGTTACTGAAATCAGTACTTACAAAATGAATTCTTCTTTCCAAGAGAGGTCAGTGGAATTATTGGCTACAGAACCGCAAAATTTCTGCAAAGGATCATTGAGCTGAACGATACATACTGGGTTAATGCTGCCTATAATGAGAAGGAGAAAAGGAAGTTCCACATAAGAATTGCTTTTTTATATACTTCCCATGATCTGTATGCATTTCATGTTTTGTGCCAATTGACAAGCAAGCACAACTTTCTTTCCAAAACTCTCATTACAGTAATCCAAGAAACACTGTTCACTTTGGGAAGTATATAAACTGTACCAAATAGGTAAGTATTGTTAAGGTTTAAGGTCAAATAAATTAGTACAGTTTATTAGAACTCATTGTGGAGGAAGTTCAGTCATAATTTGCAAACTCAGAATACATACAGATGCACAGGGGAATTACCAGTTCCCCATTATGGATAGGGGAATGCTTTTCTTGTTTTCCAAGAAAAGGTTTTGAATGATGCCAGTGAAAGCCAAAAGTACACTTACTAATATGAGCTGGAAAAACAGGTTGTTTTGAAACCACTCTGAAGTCTGGAAATTCCCATTAGTCATCTTATCTAAGACTTTTTAAAAATGTACGCAATGATTCAATTTTTTTTAAAATAACTACTGTTCAGTAATGTAAAGCACTGGTAACAATCAATCAGAACTGAAAGCTTATGAAGCCTAAGTAGAAACCGATTAAAACAGCAGGCAAATGAATACAAGTTGAAGCTTAGCTTCCAGTTTATGTATATAAGGTGTTTTTACCCTCAATGCTTATATGCCCTAAGTATGCAAGCATGAGCATGTAGAGGCTGACAAAACCGGATGGACAAGATATATGTCAGCTCTTCAAAGGTACACTGCACCATGCTGTGACCACTTATTTTTTTGGCTTGATGGCTTCTTCTCTCGTCACTCAGAATTCTTCATTTAAAGAAGCAACTTTTGATGGGTCTGAGAAGTATTGCTTAAAAGTTGCCCATATTTTTGAAGCTGCATTTAAGATAACCCTTCCAGTTGTCAATCAGTACAACAGGGACAAAAACACTTCAGTTACCGAAGTTCTCACTTCTTCAGATTTAGAGACTTCCCTAGGATTCCAAAACTATATACATTTAATTCATACTCTCCTACAGATAAATGCCTGCAGGATAACAGCCATAAGTGTTCTTTTAAAACTGTACCCCGTTACAGGTGTCAGAACATAAATGACTAGGAGATGCTGGTAAAAACAGGGTGGCTGCTGCATCATCATAGCAAATACCTAAGAACCAACTACACCAAAGGGAAAAGGGTAGGCAAAGATGCCACCATTATACCTGCTGCTAGAATAAGTGGGTCTGGATTCAGCTCTTCCTTTCCCAATCCACAAATCATATCATAAAGCCCTAAACAGCCTGTGACCCTCATACCTTTGGGACCACCTCTCCCAATATGACCCCCCCTTCCCTTTTGGTCATAATCAAAGGGCCAACTGCAGGTGCCTGGTCCACAAATAGCCTGTTTGACATCCACTAGTGCAAGGGCCTTCTCGGTGGCTGTCCCCAGGGCCGGCCCAAGGGGTTTCTGCGCCCTAGGCCAGGCTGCCTCGTGGGCCTCCCCTCAGATGCCAACCTCCCGGTGGGGTCTGGAGACCTCCCAGCTGGGTCCCAGCAGCAGGGCCGGCTGACTCGGGGGGGGGGGGAGAGATGGCAGCAAAAGTGCTCCAAGTTGTTTTGGGGGGTTCCCGG